TAAACAAGCCTATCGATATAAGACATAGTTTTCGAGATAATTTTTTCGGGTTTTAAACGGTAATCGATATCGATCACTTTTTCGTTCGATCGCGAGCATACAGATGTATTTGAAATTCAAACGCGTAAGTAGTACGTACCTGTGCGCGTATAAAATAAAGAATAACATAATAGATAGATTAAATAGAGCGAGAGAGCGGACCTTGGCATTAACGCCTCCTAGTGTAAATTGCAGTTGTAACGAGTTACCGGCAATCGGTGTCGGTATCAAGACAATTTTCATGTGGCAGGATCTCGACGAGCGTGCATCGATTATTGCGCAGAGTTGAAAAGTTAGCGCGCGGTTTGACACGGAAACAAAAGGGATATTCTAGTTCCAACTGTCGATACTATCCGCATATGTTTCGTTAACGTTGCCTCCTCGGCGAATAATAAAGATATAATAACAGGACCTAATAATTAAACACTTGTATTCCTTTCGAGTGTATTAACTTTTCCACTTTCTACGTATACGTACTTCGAAGATTTTTCTATTCGAAAATTGCTATACACGACTCAATGCACTTTTCGCATAGTTTATCGACGCGCGTACTTAAAAATATGTAAAGAATTGCGCGTTAAAATCGGGATTCCGACCGAATAAAAGTCTCGCACTAGATTCATTTAAATTTCCCTCCGCGTCGCAATACACAGATGGCGTACCTTAGAACTAAGCATGCTGGGCAATCGTATAACATAAGCAAATTCTCGTCTGTGGCATGGTATATATAACTAGCTTCGGGTATCGTGTTGCAGATTGTTCCGACAAAGCAATACAGCGGGAAACTACGGCTAATCGAGACATGGGAGTGTGGAGATTTTGTGCGAGTGTTAATTGTTCGTGTATCGGTCGAGAAATAAATGTACGATTAGTGGTCGAATCGAACGGAGTTGTCGAGAGCATATATCTTGGACTAACCTATGTATAATAGGTAGTATGTAATGTCATATCGCAGCGAATCCTACTGTCCGATACGTAAGTCCTGTATAAATATGAAATAAATTTCGCCTCGGATATGTGTCGAGGTGATCGACGACTAGGCAACGGCAACGATAGGAAACTAGGCGCGTAGACGACGCGGGATAAAGATCGCTCGATAATCGATCGAGCGTGTGCACGGGTTGCGTCGCGACGGGTGAAGTTGCGAAGGTAATTGTGCGCGTGTTTGTTTAAACAAAGGTGCCTGTTCTCACTCACCTGATACTATTTCCTGGGAGGTCATTTGGAGAAGGAGCGCGAGTTGTTGACGCTCGGACATCCGCGCTGGGTAACCGCGGAAACGACTGTTACCGCCTGCGGGCATTCCGTCCTCATAACTCATGTAACTCGATCTCGAAAACGCACGTGGAGGATCACGGTGTACACTTTAATGAAAAGATGCCAGGCCGCGTGTGGTCGCGCGCGCGCGCCTTTATTCCTTGGTCCGCCGTGATTTGCCACGAGCGAAGATAACCTAAAATCGCACGGTCGGTTCACGCCATTTTGACCTACCGAGCGCGCACAGATACGTGAAACGACAGTCACGCAACACGTATGCAACCACACGCGCCAAAACTAATTGCATCGGATGAACACTGAGAATCGCCGTTCGTGATTCTGCACTCTTGTTTCCCGGGCCGATGATTTGATTTCACGACGCGGTATGTGTGTGCGTGATCTTTCGAAAATGAGATTCGCGACACACCACTCGGAACACAGTGCGCAATATGACGCAACGTTTGTGTTGGTGTTAATAGTTGGTATCTCTGTCGATAGCGTGCGTCGCGCCAATATTCAAATTAACGTAATTAAAAGCGGATCCCGGGAAAGGGCATCGTCGGTGTTTTCTAGTAAGCGGCCACATTCGGAAACGTGTTACGCGATCGAACGAATGGGACTAGAGAATTTTTTCCAAATGAAAATCGAACGTATACGATCGGTATCGATCAGTGAAACGTACTCGTGTAATTTTTGCGTGTGTTTTTTTAATAAAGAAGATGGGTTTACATATCGCATCATGTATCTCATTCAGTTCTAAACTTATAACGGGAGTTTTGTCATGTAATCGATAAGTTCCATTTACATTTACAAAATAAATACTTAATATACAACCGAATGGAAATGATAAAAAAATTTCGATACTATAATTATCGACTATAGTAATTCCAATCTACCGAATATAATAGGCCATGTAGAGCCATCGCATACATATACATATACATATATTAATTTCTTCGCATTGCCCAACATAAATAGGACAATCGACTGGACCACGCTCGCGCACACTCTTGTCTCTATCATTCGTACACGTATTCATTTTATACTGTTTTGCATCTTGTGTTTATTGTAACAACGTTATAATTTAATTACGAATAATGATAAGAACACATTGTTTAATTGTATCTAACGCAGTAGCTATCTACAGTAATATTATAGAAAATACATAACGACTTTCTTATCGTCGGACCGATTACATACGAATTGTTATTTGTTAATTGACATTTCCAATACTGCGAATCGCACGCAAAATTTTTTTGCCTGTGTATAATTACAACATTTAATGTTGTAACAGAATACAAAAAGAAATGAAACGAAAGCGCTATAAAAGTAATAGTAGATACATTTTGTTTCGTAGTATTCGCTTGTGTCTTTTTGGTTTTTCATTTAAAAAATAAGAGTATCTCACTAAATTTTTTTCTTAAATTCTCTACTCGCGAGATAGTTTTTCAAACGTTCGTTTGGATTTGAATAATTGTTAAAAGTTGCGAGTACAAAATCGAACTCCTAGCTGCTCTCTAAACACGATTAACCAAGAAAAAGTTCGTTCGAAAAAATCTTTTTATTTCTAGGTATCAAACATCTGTATGTTTACGTTCAACGGAAAACGAAAGAGAAAGAAAAAAGAATTGCACAAATATTAATTTTTTAATATATTTGCCGCATTCCTACCGATCTATGTCGTTCCAAACGATTACATGCTCGGAAATATTTGAGAATTTTGTTCCAATTTTGAAAGTACATTTGTTAAAACTATAGTCATGGTACAAACTTTTCGAAAAAGAAATTGACAAATGCGTAACAATTTAATGAATAAACATTTCAAAAGAGTAGAATGATTATTTATCTGAGCGTAAACACTGCTTGATGCAATATACGTCGAATATCTTACTTTTACATTCATTCCTATAAAGTAATTTATTCATTTTGCACATTCCAAGATAATACGATCGTAGAAAGTGGTTGCGAGTACACGATACCTATAGGATGGCAGAGGAGAAGAATTTTGAAGAATGTTTTAATCATTCTCTATTGAAATGTGGGGTGCAACGTGTACATTTAGATGTCGTAAATTCTTCAAAAAGTAGTTCGACAGAGTGGTCATTTATAATATTGAATTTGAATTGTTTTTTTTTTTTTCAGAAGCTAAGTCAATTTTTATTTTTCACAAAGACGTTTCATTTAGTCCCATATTTTATTGGTCTGTCTGTAAAGGTGTTTTAAAGTGATATCAATAAATAAATTATGTAATGCAATTTTTCAACATTTCTTGACAATGTATCTCTTGTTGGTGCTTTCTGTGCATGTTTTTTTTTGTTTTTTGTTTAAATCGAATGTATACGTGTATATGTACACGCGTAGACATGTACAGATACATATTATACAAATTCTGTTTAGAGTTAGAAAGACTAGTAGGTTTATACTAACTTAGTTATTAATACACTTATACAAGTGATTTATGCGGAACGCTTCCGCATTAGAAATAGGAAAACTTAGGTGTTGTTGTCACGTATTGTTTTTTTAAAAGAGTTCGAATCGGTTTAAGGCGATCTTGTCACACCTTCGTTTTGTTCTGGTCATCGAGTGAAACACACGTATATAGCTCTGACAGGTTTTGCGTCGTCGAAAAGATCTAGAAACCTCGCTTCGGGAGAAATTTGCTAAGCTTACAACAGTTTACTTGAGAAATGGATGACCTATCTATATTACATCGATACAGATATCTCGGTTGTTACTTTGATTAAACTTAGATTTGTTATATATCATTATTGAACTGCAATGGCTTATTAATATTTCTTTACTTTCTGATAGTCAGAGGGATGACAGGTTGTAGCAGTACGTGATACAAGAGAGTTCCTCTTAAAAACTATAATACAAGATACTATCAAAATGATATTTTTTTAATGACTATGTTGTGTTGCGTATGTATATATGATAACAAAAACATTTACAAACGAAATAGGATAACATTTGAATCTAGCTTGTATACATTTGTTTGTGCATAGGCAGTTTATTAATTGTACTTTATTCAAATAAAACTAATCAACTAAAAACGTGTGTCATTGAATTAATACATTGAGAGATATTACTAACGAATTTTGCAGTTTTTGATTGATTTTATGGTTCACGTACCGTAAACCTATACATCGTAACCATCTTTTGTTTTCGTTATAAACAATTATGGTCATAGTTCCACGCAATTCACTAACTAATTTACCTTGTGCTTAAACGCAGGTATCGTTACCGACTAAGTTTATAATTTCTATCTACTTGAACGGTCATTAAGACTTCAGTTATAATTATAACAACAACGATGATGACAATAATGACGGTAATGACAGTGTAATGAATGATGATAAATAGCAATAATTACAACATTATTATTATTATTATTATTATTATTATTAATATTATTATTATTATTATTATTAATTCTGATTTGTGTTCTACACATTGTATACTACTCGGTTTAATGGAATGTCTATCTTGTTTTTCATTACAGTTTTAAAGGAGAACTACTGCCGATATTGAGTATATTATTTTCTTTGCTTTTTATCAGAGTTACTTTTCGCAGCTATTTACCGTTCCTTATTTCTCGAGCTAACGATAAATCTAATCATTTATGCGTTTCATTCGTAAAATCGTCGATAACGATTAAAAAATGTCATCTTCCGGCATAGAAACGTATCGAATATTCAATGGGTATGATAGATGCGATAAATGAATAATCGAGTGAAGATAATATATTATCCTGCCTTGAACGTTTAAAAAAAAAAAAAAAAAATCATAATTCTCCTAGCTATGAGCAAATGTCACTTCGTTTCAATCGATTTATGTGCCTCTTTAAGTGTCTAGTTTAATAGCGGTGATTTTCTCTACCAGTCTTTTCTCCTTCTCCGTACCTAGGCATTTTAATTATTAAAATCTTCGTATTGAACCCTGTGTTTGACTGTGTCACATCTTAGACAACATCTGTGTATGGCACAAATGGATATAAAGCGAACATAACTAATATGTATACATTTTATTTCTTCCACGATGTTCGCGCGCGCGCGTAAATTGCGGGGGAAGACTTTAGAATTCATATAGTTTTCATTTGTTCTACGTTGACCCCGTCGCGAAGCGGTCACACGCGTTTATCGTCTTGCCAATATTCTTAAACTTCTAAATTTGTATGACCGCGATGATCAATATGGGACGTGTATACACGCATGTATATATCGTACATACGTTATACATATACATCTCGCGTTTCGTTCTCGTCGTTTTTTCGTTCGAGTAGATTTTTTCCAGTGCACACATTAATATTATAAGACTACGACAATGGCGATACAATAACCTGCGACAGATGGTAGGACGCTCTAACTGTGTTTTCGTTGGTATTGCAGCTGCGTTGCGGCGATAGAAAGCTCGTTCGATTTTAGAAAAATTCACTTGCCCACGCGACAACGACAACCGATAAGAGGAGCTTTCAGATTTGGCAATCTTGGAACATGGAAGTCAATCGTCGCTGTTGCTGCTAATGTTGTAAGGAAAGACTGTCAGTGCGGTAGTATTCGATGATCTACTGTCAACCGTTGGTTGCACGGGCGGTCCGCTCGCGTCTACTCCATGCTAAAGTCTCCATAAACTGGATCTTCGAGCCCCCGATCCTGATCCTGCCGTGCATACACAGTAAATTCGTTAGTGTCTACCCTATAGTTGCTTCCCTACTTCTACAGACTTTACATACAAATTCAAAAAAGCTGACATCTACACCTTTAAGAATTCTACGGTGAACTAGTAGCGTGGTGGACGCGCGCGCGCGCGCACACACACACGTTCTTTCTTTGTTTGCTCAACGATGCTAGGGAAATTGTTTTTAGTGATTTTCGAACGATTTCGAACGGAGAATGAATTTTTGTTCGTAAAAAAATATTAGTGGAGAACGCAATGGTACCGGCTCCTCGTTTTACGACATCCTCCTTTATCTATGATTGTACCGACCAGCATGAGAAATGGCCACCATCTCTATGGGCAGGGAACCTCTTCGCTCGACGAGCGGTTCAGGAATCGGATCCCTTTTTCCTAGTTCCCTCTTCCATATAAGCCATGTGCCATTATCGTTCCCATCTGTGGATCCTCCAGAGAACATTTCTGGTCCTCCAGAACTTCTCCTCCTCAAAATCTTTTTCCGATTACGAGGCTTACCGTTTATGCTACTCCTATTGAACATATCACGGCGTAATTCAGATATGTCTGCTGGCACTGAACCTCGCCGCGGGGACGGCATGCTAGGTCCGGTGCTATCGATTATTCTTGCTAATCCGTTATTGTTGCTTGTCCCGGTATTGTTATTATTGTTATTATTGTTCATTGGGAGATTCTCTCGTTCATCTGAAAAACATTTCACCGGTGAGCATATCGAGACGAGACGAGGCGAGGCGAGATATCTCTACGAGCGTAGGACTTGAAAATCTGTGCACGTACTGGTTAACGATAAAATATTGCCGAGAAGATTTCCAAGAGCAGTTTCTTGCGGAAGACTCGCTCTCCTGGGTGTTGTAACGTTTCCCTCTCTAACGCCTAAGGCTAATCGATTACAGCCTCCACCTACAGGTACCACGAATCAGCGAATTAGCACGGCGCGTTATTCGTCGATCGCGCGCGGCTTTCTTCGAAATCTCGTTAGAACGAAAAGGATCGTTGATATTTCTTCGTTGGTTAAAACTAGTTTGAAAAGATTCACAACTACTTCCATGGTATCGTTAGCAGATGGAACGCAGACGTTGGAAACGAAACGACTCGCATGCTGGACACCGCATCGGTTAGACTACGATCGAGCGAACAATGCTTTTACACGTATCGTGCAACTTACGCGTCTAATATATGTTAGTTGTTTCCATCGTTCGCCCCCCCCTGACTTTCACTGGTATCTAGATCGTACGTAGACCGGTATTTATTTTGTAAAATAAGTCGCTTTCTCCCGAGGAAGATTCACAGCCTACATTAAATTATATCGATCAGTTTATACGATTACGCGTTTCCTACGCGAACGTTCGTACTCGACAGACGTATTCCTAGGATAATAGGCGATAACGGATGGGCCGTTGTTATTCTACCTTGGTGCCTTGTAATGTCGGTTGGTACAGATCCACGCCTGGAGGTATGATCAACCCTGGTAGATGCTATAGGCGGTACGGCGATGTCGTCCAATCTCGATAAAAGACCGACCGGCGCGGATCCTCGTCTTCTAGCCCATGGCTGGATGAAACATAGGAAAAACATCGGAGATTAAATCGTTCGATTCTACGGACGAATGTTCGCGAACGATGCGGATAGAGCCAGATAAAACGAGTACCTGGCTTCCCTTCCTAGACAGCGTTATCCCTTTCGTATCATCGATCGCGCGCGGGTCAACGTTCTCCTTCATTTGCACGTCGAGGCTGAGTTTGGCGACCTTCGAGCTCTTCTCCTTGACGGCCTCCGGGTCCCGTTTGCCGCCGATCGAAACGATTTCGTTGTCGCCGGTGTATTTCCGCGGTTCGCTGCCACCGCTGTCGCTCGACGACGACACGCTTTGGATCAGGGGCGGCGAGTCCGGCGGGCTACCGATGAAGAACACTTTATACGTGCCGAGTTCCGAAGACACCGGTATCGCGGTGAACCGTCTGCCACCGGCGTCGGTCACGATCGTCTTAGTTTCTGGGACGGGCGTCGAGTATCTTCGCAATTCGGACTCGACGCATCTCGGTTTCGCGACATGCATCGAACCGCTGCCGCACTGGTCGGATTTATTGAACGCCGTTATAGTCCGCGGATCCTGGCACGATACTTTCTCGCTCTCGTGTCTCGTCTTGGACGCGGGTGGCGCGCCGTCCGACCTCGCGTCGGAGTCGACGTTGCGGGTGTTCTTGTCGTTCCGAGAGCCGGTCAGCGACGCGTAGAACGCTTGAGCGGAGTCCGATCCTTGAGCAGAGGCGGGTCGTTTGTGGTGACGATTCTTGAAGTTCGCGTCGTCGATACGGATAGCTTGCACCGACAACGAGTGACGTCGCGGGTGATCGGCGGCCGGGAGGATGTCCGGCTTCGGTCTGAACGGGTCGGGGATCGCGGAGCCGCGCCTTTTGCCAGCCAGGTCCGCCGCCGTCGGCGCTTCTCGGGACGACGCTTTCTCGACGACGGTGGACTTGGCTCGCGACGCGTCCGCTTCTTGCGTCGGCGGTGTACCGCAATGGCCGTTCGAACAGGACTTGTCCTTGATCGATCCGGAGGAGGACGCGGAGCTGTTCGCCTCGATCAGAGTCTGCGAGTAACACTGCGACATTTCCGCGGTGGTGGACAGGTATCTCATGCGAACGTAGGGCTGCAGGGGCGGGAAGGTCTGTTGCCTGGTCAACTGCTTCGATCGCGTGTCCGGCTTTTGATTCTCCGGCTGCAGGACCGAGCTCAGCCTCGACGCTTCGGCGCTGCTGGTGATGCTGGCTATGCTCGGTTCCGGCAGCAGACTCTCCGCGCTGACCGGCCTCTCGGTCGCGTTCGCGTTCGCGTTCGGCGAGAGCTCTTGCACGCTGCTCCGCGACGAGAGCAAAGACAGCGAGCCCGGATCCAACAGGCTCTGGTCCTCGAGCCGCAGCAGCAAGCTCTTCGTTTTGTTGTGCTCGATCGGCAGGCTCTCGCGTCTCGCCGTGCTGCGCGGCACCAGAGACAACGGTTTCGCGATGCTCAACGGGACGGAATGACGCCTGCCGATCCGCTCGAGGCCGACCCGGGCCGGCAAGCTCTGGATCCGGGAGGACTGAACGTACGCCGCCGGTATCAGCGGATCGATGCTTCCGATCTCCTCGTCCGCGGCCGGCTCCTCCGTCGAGCTGATCTCGTCCTCTATCTCTTCCAGCTCGGATATCTCCGTCTCGGTTTCCTCGGCCGCCTCCTGCAGGTTCAGCAACTCCCATTTCTTCTGATTGCCTCGCAGATGCTCCATCAGCGACACGCTCAGACCGTCCCCGAGGAAACGGTGCCACTCCTCGTAAAGGGGTGTCACCACGAATTTGAAGAATCCAGCCTGTATCTTCGGTATGCTGGTGGTATGTCGATCGCATAACGGCGTCACCGGCAGGTTCAGCCGACGTTCGTAATCGCCTTGCCGAAAGAATTCCTCGCATACTTTGTACGACCACTTCCTCGAGATGTCCCAAGGTCTGCACGGGTTCGATATATCGGCGCATTTTAAGGCTATCTGCAGAATGAAATGCCGATCGTCCGCGCGCTCCATTTCCAACAGATTCTCGTCCAAATAGTACTGGAACAAACCGAGCGACGCGCGTATGTAGCAATCGTAAGATTGCCCGTTCTCGATCTACCGAGCCCCCCCCCCCCCCGGCGCTGGCCAACGTCCGTTGCTTTATTTATAATTTCCAACGACGAAAAGCCTCTATTCGTTTGGATCTCTCGGAATTTTCATCGCAACTCCGAAGCCGAATTTGTAGGAAAATTATGCGAAACGACGCGAAACCGACTAAATGAATTCGAACGGATGTTGGCGGAACGTTGGCGTTCGGTAACGCGCTTTTATTTTCACAGGCTAGGTTCTACCTACGATCGCGAGCGCGTTTCTTCGATGTAATATCGCGAACGATTTTCCCGAATACGGAAGCCGCTCGATAACTGTCAACTTTCGGGGTAAACGACGGTTAACGGACGGCCAATGGCACGCGGGCTCTCATCGTCGTGCCCGTGCCGGTGCCCGTGCCCGTGCCCGTGTCCGTGCTTCGGAGGCATTCCCATGCGACAGTTATCCGATGACACTTATCGAACTGCTACCGCATTAAATATCATCGTCGAAATAATTAACGATATCGGGAGATTCGCAATTTTAATTCTCGCACATTTTGCCGCGAGCTTCTTGCTTCGATATTCCTATCTTTGTACATGCAGCGGATAAGCGTCGGCGAGTACTTGGAGCGCTTACTTTGAATTTGTCCAGGAACTCTTTTTGCCGCGTGATATCGGTGGCCAGGATCAACGAGCTGATGTGTCGTTGAAGCTCCGGTCTGATATTGGCGGGCAACTGATCGGAAACACCGCTCTCCAGAAGACACCCTATCGCCGACCTCCAGTGATGATTTTCAAGAACCGACGTGTTCTGCAATCACAGGCTCGCGCGTTATCGACGGCCGAGTTCGATCGAACGTATTTGGGAAACGTATTTGGGGAACGTATTTGGGGAACGTACTTGGTAGAGCGCAGCCAGGTGATTGCTCGTGGCGACGAGAAACGGTTGATTGACGCCTGGATGATCCAGATCGTGCGTCACCGCGGCTATCAGCGATGCCATGATTTCCAAGTCGGTTAAGTGCATCCTAATCTGTAAACGTACAACCTGCGCTATTTTCTGCGGACTATTTCGCCGGTGTGCCGGCGCCGGTTCCTCTCTTCGCCGCTAGCCGATACTCACTTTTTTCTCTTGAAGGAAGCAGTGCATCGCTTGCGTTACGTCCGTCGCGTGTATACTGTTGTGGTAAGGGTTCGTGCTGTGATAACCCTCCTCGATGAAAGCTGTTGGAAGCGTCGCACCGCGATTAAAAATCGTCGCCGGATCGTAGGTGTAGCGTCGCTGCGCCGACCGATAACCGTATCATTGGCGAGCGAAACGCGCGAACGCGCGACGGCGGCGAAACGAAATATGCGAATGAAAATTTGGTTGCCACGTTTTTCAAATTACACGCTGCTCGGATGCACGGAATAACTTTAACCACGCGGTTTCCTATTTCGTTCGTCGCCCGACACGATCGCTTTACATTTCCCTTCGGCGGACATTCTTCTCGCGATTCTATTTCAAAGGTTTGCTCGATCGTAGCGTTAATTTGCCGAACGGTCGTGCGAGGATCGAAATCTGATATTCGAACGAGTCTCGTTGCTCCTGTGCGCAAAGATTTCTTTTCGTTTACGGGGGAGAAGCAGGGGGTGACCGCTGGAAACGAGCAGCGCTCGCGTACGATGTACGATACGGTATAACACGAGCGATACCGTTCGAGAAGCAGTTTCGTCTAGCATCGTCNTAAGATTGCCCGTTCTCGATCTACCGGGCCCCCCCCCCCCCCGGCGCTGGCCAACGTCCGTTGCTTTATTTATAATTTCCAACGACGAAAAGCCTCTATTCGTTTGGATCTCTCGGAATTTTCATCGCAACTCCGAAGCCGAATTTGTAGGAAAATTATGCGAAACGACGCGAAACCGACTAAATGAATTCGAACGGATGTTGGCGGAACGTTGGCGTTCGGTAACGCGCTTTTATTTTCACAGGCTAGGTTCTACCTACGATCGCGAGCGCGTTTCTTCGATGTAATATCGCGAACGATTTTCCCGAATACGGAAGCCGCTCGATAACTGTCAACTTTCGGGGTAAACGACGGTTAACGGACGGCCAATGGCACGCGGGCTCTCATCGTCGTGCCCGTGCCGGTGCCCGTGCCCGTGCCCGTGTCCGTGCTTCGGAGGCATTCCCATGCGACAGTTATCCGATGACACTTATCGAACTGCTACCGCATTAAATATCATCGTCGAAATAATTAACGATATCGGGAGATTCGCAATTTTAATTCTCGCACATTTTGCCGCGAGCTTCTTGCTTCGATATTCCTATCTTTGTACATGCAGCGGATAAGCGTCGGCGAGTACTTGGAGCGCTTACTTTGAATTTGTCCAGGAACTCTTTTTGCCGCGTGATATCGGTGGCCAGGATCAACGAGCTGATGTGTCGTTGAAGCTCCGGTCTGATATTGGCGGGCAACTGATCGGAAACACCGCTCTCCAGAAGACACCCTATCGCCGACCTCCAGTGATGATTTTCAAGAACCGACGTGTTCTGCAATCACAGGCTCGCGCGTTATCGACGGCCGAGTTCGATCGAACGTATTTGGGAAACGTATTTGGGGAACGTATTTGGGGAACGTACTTGGTAGAGCGCAGCCAGGTGATTGCTCGTGGCGACGAGAAACGGTTGATTGACGCCTGGATGATCCAGATCGTGCGTCACCGCGGCTATCAGCGATGCCATGATTTCCAAGTCGGTTAAGTGCATCCTAATCTGTAAACGTACAACCTGCGCTATTTTCTGCGGACTATTTCGCCGGTGTGCCGGCGCCGGTTCCTCTCTTCGCCGCTAGCCGATACTCACTTTTTTCTCTTGAAGGAAGCAGTGCATCGCTTGCGTTACGTCCGTCGCGTGTATACTGTTGTGGTAAGGGTTCGTGCTGTGATAACCCTCCTCGATGAAAGCTGTTGGAAGCGTCGCACCGCGATTAAAAATCGTCGCCGGATCGTAGGTGTAGCGTCGCTGCGCCGACCGATAACCGTATCATTGGCGAGCGAAACGCGCGAACGCGCGACGGCGGCGAAACGAAATATGCGAATGAAAATTTGGTTGCCACGTTTTTCAAATTACACGCTGCTCGGATGCACGGAATAACTTTAACCACGCGGTTTCCTATTTCGTTCGTCGCCCGACACGATCGCTTTACATTTCCCTTCGGCGGACATTCTTCTCGCGATTCTATTTCAAAGGTTTGCTCGATCGTAGCGTTAATTTGCCGAACGGTCGTGCGAGGATCGAAATCTGATATTCGAACGAGTCTCGTTGCTCCTGTGCGCAAAGATTTCTTTTCGTTTACGGGGGAGAAGCAGGGGGTGACCGCTGGAAACGAGCAGCGCTCGCGTACGATGTACGATACGGTATAACACGAGCGATACCGTTCGAGAAGCAGTTTCGTCTAGCATCGTCGCGATAACTTTGTCGCGCATCGCCATCGAGGGAGAGTCGCTTCGAGAAATTTTGGCAGTAACAAGCTCCGCGCGTCCAGCTACGTTGGAAACGTGCCTCGAGAACGATGGAAGAAAAATAAAATACGGCAGGCTGTCGCTTGTCCCGTCGCGGTCCGATCGACCCACGTTTCGACCGGCCATGTTTTCGCTCGGATCTTGCTTCGCGAATCGATTTCCAGTTTTCGCATCGGAAACGAGCACGGTAAAAACCTTGCTACGGCATCGTAATATTTTTCGCTTCGCTTCGCATCATTTTATTCTTTCCGTTTTGTAATCGATCGTCGATTGCGTCGAGCACGCGAAATCGCGTCCGCTGATTATCGTGAAATTCGCGCGAGCGAAATTCTCGGGAAAACATTTGACGCGCGTTTATTTTTCGATCGGCATAATCTCCGTCGAAACGGTGGAAACAACCCGCGAAGTTGGAAGGTTTAGCACGCGTTTTCGATGTATTATTCGAGAGCGAGCGATTTTTAAATATTTTTACACGAGCGAGTCCACGATTCGAAAGCGCGCACGGTTCCAAACAAAATTTCTACCCTCGTGCTTTTCGGCTTTACAGATACGAACAAAAAAAGTATGGGCTTTCCCTCCGACGAGTTTTCGCGCTCGTCCCTTCGACGCGAAAGACCGCCGATAATAGAAACCGTATTAAATATTTCGCATGCGGATGTTATCGTCGAATGAAATTCATAGTCGATGAAAATAAAAGAGCTCCGGTGGGCGCTCTACGCACAATTTGAACGCGTAATTGGACCATCGGAGGAGAGTTCGCGTTCGTTCGGTCGAAATTAATCGAAGGTTTCCCGGGATTAAATATAACATCGGGGCAATAAGCATTCTGAAAGTCGTAGAAAAAAAATTCGATCGATGGTAACCGCGAACGAATTGGTAAAAGACTGCGAGTAGCGCTTCTCCCGTATCGACGAGAACAAAACGATGAAACGGTACGACGACCTAGATAACGGATACGCGTTCGATCGTTCTGCTCGATCGCGAAATTTTCAACCAAAAAGTACGACGTTCGCGTGGGCGGAGACACGGATTCGCGGAGGATCGATTATCGCGAGAATTTTGCATAATCGATGCGCGTTAGAGTACAGCTTGACAATTACCGTTTCAATGCGCGTCATTAGCCGACGTTGCTTTCGAGAATGTTATCGCTGAAATATCCACGACTGCTGCGAAACGCGGGCTGCATACGTACGCGTATACAGGGTGTCCCGAACGTCGCTCGCGATCGGGAAACGAGGCGTTTCCCGAAGTCGTTCGAAGTAACGTTTTCCTTGGCGCGAACGCGATCTCCTCGGTCGCCTCGCGCCAACCGGATCGCGTTCGCGCCAAGGAAAAAAGGTAACTTCGAACGACATCGGGAAGCACCCTCGTTTCCCGATCGCGAGCGACTTCGCGGACACTCCGTATAAATACGAACGCGTAGCTCGAGGGACTTCTCTCCTCTCGCGAATATTTAACGGCGGCGAACAGCGAGACGGCGTAAAAATTTCGCGTCGAAGGGAAGCAACGATCGCGTTGAACAGGAGCGCAGATTCCGTTTCCACGCGATTCGCGATACGCGGCGATGGAGGGCGCGAGCAAGGGGTGCATCGAGGTGGGAGGAGCAGAGATATTGCGGAAATACTTGTTCGATTCCGCAAACGCGATAAGTAAACATGGCCATATGTTGTTATAACTACGTATTTACGTACAATACCGACCGCGCGACTCGAATGGACGGAAATCCACGTAACACGTTGTAAACACGCCGTTTACTCCCTCGAGCTGCAATTTCTAGAAATTATTGTATTTCGACCGATTTTTCGACGGTCGAACGGTCAACGATTCCTTTACGAATCATTTGCCGTCGATCGAAGACGAGAAGCCGAGCCTATGGATCGGAAAATCTATGGAAACGATTCTAGGAAAAATAAAGCGATCGCCGGATCTACCGATGAAGTTTCGATATCGAATATTCCGTGCGCGCGCGTTTCTCTAATTCGGTCGCGATCCATCGCCGCCGCGCTTTCGTTTGTACGTCGTCTCGAGATTTGTCAGAAGCACATTTGTAGCGTTTATTCTTACCGAACAATTTCCACACCGTTACCACGTCCAAGTTGAAATGTTGTAACAGTCCGTACCAATGAAAAAGATGGACGCATAATACTGGTAGCGATCGGCCTGAAAATCGTGTTCGAACATGTTCAAATACGTGGATTATCATGGAACGCGAGTAATAAAACGAGTAGTCGTTTGCTCGGCTTATTTCGAAACGATACCCTCGGAGAGAATATAGTTTTTACGGTGCGGGCATACATCGATATCGTTCGACGAACGCGTCGCGAAACACGATGGAACGAAATTCGGCGTTGCTCCGAGAAAATGAAACAAGAAAATCTACGTTCGTACGATCGGTCTCACCTCCTGTCACAGTTTCCAACGTAAATGCATTGAACCGCCAGTTGCCGGCCTTCTGGAGCACGCACTGCAACAAATGATCGAAAGGCGACGTTAGCAGCATCGGTGAAACGCAAGTTTCGACGAACGGACAGAGGACGAACCGAGTTCGACGCACCGACGATAAAACGAACGTTCGCGTTTCTCGAATTATTCGGATTTCATCGCGCATCGTTACCGCCGAATCTACGAGAAACGGAACGCGAACGGACGCGAACGGACGCGAAAATTGCCGTTCGAGCGTTCGCTCGATCCGTTTTACGTACCGCGAATATTTTTCTTATGTAAACACGCGAACCCGCGAACGTGTAAATTTACTTCTAATCGAAGCAGTGACTTTCGTACACCGCTAACCGCGCGTCACCATCATTTCTGACCAGTAACGGCATATTAGCATTTAACCGCTTAAATCGCTCAAAGGTTTTGATCGTTCGACCGCTGTCGTCGGTCTTCCGCCTCGATTGGCCAACGGTTCGAGTCCCTTGACCGGTTCGGATTTTATCGATCCGATCGACCGCCGACTTCGATCGAGCAATTTTGATTCGAATTCGATGGAAACCCTTCGCGGAAATCGATTCCACGAATCGCGATTTAGAATAAATCGATCGCGGTTCGACGACCGAGAATCTCCCGTTGCCCGTTTCGTTCGCGAACGTCGTGCGATATTATCGCGCCGAAATATTGGGAAAAGGAAACCGCCGATCGGAATTCCCATTTGTTACTACGTTGCGTTAGGTTCTCGTTCTCCGACCGTGCTATTCGCGCCGTGACCATCGAATGCGTGCATTCGGGCGCTCGCTTCGGCAATTAAATTGTAAACGGTGGCACGGAGAAAATGATTTACATTTATAAGTTACGGCATTGTAACAGGTGCTTACGATCGCGTTTATCAACAACGACGCGCGTTTCTTTTATCAACATTACATAATTCAGGGTTATTGACTCTTACGTAACGACGAACTATACCCGATCGAACCTTTGTCTGTAAACTTCTTGGTCGGCCGATTGATTGCTCCGTGGTTCTACGTCGACTACTAGAATGAAACCGGTAGAACGAAACGATCTTTAACCGAGAACAGGTCTACGAAGCAATAATTTCGCTTCTCTCTCGAAGGATTACTGTTATTTAAAAAGAAAAAGAGAACCGTTGCAAAGAATGTATTTATGTTTTTACGATTTTATATTATACGATAAATTCTCGCTCGGATTCTATTACTCGTGCTTACATTGTATTCGTATCAGAGATTCTAGCCGATGGATCGTACAAAGTTCTCGGTTCCGAAAGGTGTCCGAGGACTTTCTACGGTCACCGTAGACCGTAGACCGTAGACCGTAGACCGTAGACCGTAGACCGTCGACTGTGGATTACGCGACCGCATCGCGCGTATACACGCATACGCGTATCCGTATACGTACATACATTGTTCTCTCGTAATCGCGCTAGTTCGAGTCGAGCGTAGATGGCTTACCTGAACCAGACCATGGAAAATATCGTCCAGGATGCCCTGTTCCTGATTCAAGGATCTCGTGGTAAGCCTCTTACGGCGCCGCTTGTGCATGGTGAGGAATCGACCGGTGGGCCTGGGCCTGGAACGACCGATGTCCAAACTCTCCAAGAGGATCCGGTCCACCTCCGACAGACGTCTGAACGGCGGCTCTTTCGCTGGTTCATCGCCGACTTCCGGCAAAGTTACCGACACGCTCGGCGTTGGCAACGCGGTGCTTTCTGCGAATCAGTCGGAAACGATCGTCATTGTTTCCGCGATCTTGGAATTCTTCGTCGAATCGGGAAACGTCGGCGACGGCGTCGCCTTCTTTTCAACGCGGAACGAAACGGTCCCGACGAAACGAACGATACCAACGGTGGCTGGCTAACTACTTTCGGGGACGCGAAAGGGACGATACCGCGTTGCTCTCGCGTCCTACCAATTTTAGCGAGACACGGTCTCGAGACGCGAATAAATTCGGCGAAGGTCCGACACGCCCGTTGCCATCGTTCGACGAAAGGTGTTGTTACCGGAAAATCTGCGAGGGGAGCGAGCGCAAAGTTCCGAACGTCCAGCGGATCGTTAACATTGTTCGACAACTTTGAACTTTTTCAGGTTTCCAACTTTTAACAGGCGTTCTTCGCAACATTTTTGCTCGCCGAATACCGATCCGCAAACTTTCGTCTTCGCGCGATTCTCAAAGAAATCGATTCGACGAGATCGGTTTATCGTCAACGTCGTCCGATCTCTCGACGAAATTGTTCCGCGTACGGACTCCTCCGAAAAAAAAGAACGATGCGCGAGCGTGGTCGAAGCATGCGAGATCACGGTCGATCGGCTGCTTCTGTTATAATTGCAAGCACGAAATACCGTTCTCGAGTACTCGACGAACGATGCTCGCGATCCAGCGCGATGAGAAAATTCGCGATCGCATCGATCGCGCGTCGTTGCGGTCGACTCGATATCGAACCGTAGGATGTCGTAATCGATGTAAGTAGGTACCCGGTCCACGAATTGTGCAACGGAAATTATTAACGAAGCAAGATGCGCGTATCGAGTGGCGCACGTTCGACGCGATGTTGCAACTATGTTGCTCGACAAAGCTTTCTAGACACGATCGCGCATTGCGCAAACGTATTATTGGCATGGAAAATTCGTCTTTCGACGATAGTCGCGCGTCCCGATGTTTATCGCGTCGTCGCTGGATCGCCATCGCCGTTCGTCCCTTCGCGTTATCCTACCGTATCGTCGACGAACGCAACGACGATCGCGACACGATGTTTCGGCGCGGGATCTTCCGCGGCCGAGTTTAAAATCGATCGAAGATCGATCCGAAACGGTTGACCTTAAGATCCGTGATCGGAGACGATCGTTGCGCAAGCGGCGAGCGACGAATCCCGAGTTCCGACGGTCCCCGACCGCCGCCCGTTCATTGGCAACGAGGACGATGGCAATGTTATTATTACCATTGTTGTTTATAGGCGATCGTAATCGGCACGGCTGAAAATAGCCGCGCCATGCGCCACGTTAAAATTACAACGCGCCGCTCCGCGCCACGCCGTGCCGACGCGCTTCCCCGTGTGGCCCATTCGCGCAGCTAATTAATTTCGACGCGTCTCCTGTCGACGCGCGTGCATAGATCGGTGCGCGGATCGTATGCACATGGTCTCTCGACGTTGATACGTGGACGCGGTTACCTGGCCGACCGGGCCGGGCCTTCGTTCGTGCGACGCGACGTCGAGGCTGCTCGGGCCGGGACGGCTAGCGCCTTAATTACGCTTCTTTCATCGTCGGTGATGACGCGTGATTGCTGCGGCACAGCTTCGCGACCGTTCTTCTCGATAAATTCCTATATATTTTTTACGCGTCAGCGTATTCGCAACTCGTCGAAGATTCTCTAGAAAAGAAACGATCGAGATCTATAGTTTAGAGAAACGATTCTTATCGTCCGTTTCTAATCGGATTCGTTGCAGCGACTACGGTATTTTCGCTTCGCGATCGGTTGTTTTTGCAGCGTCGGAACGACGCGACGCGGCACGCTGCGAAAAACCTGGTCCTTTCGGAAGCAATCGCAGTTTTTTTTTCGCGGCGCTTCTCCTGCCGGCGATCGGAAAAGCGGTACGAGATTCGTTCCAATCTGGCGGAGCCACGGTGTTCAGCGTGAAAATAGAAGTTCGGCCGTGCCGACCGCGAACGGAAGTTCCAATTCTTTTCGAGACGAGTTTTGCCGCGTCGTCGAATCGACCGCGATCGGAGACCGGATCGAGTTTATCGTACCGCGCGAAGCACGAATCTGGTCCAAGTTTCGCCGAACTTTTGAAGCAGGTTCGGCGATCGGTAACAACGTTCGCCGGATTTTTGCCGCTTCTCGGTGGTCGGTGGTCGGTGGTCGATGGCGCCCGGTAAATCGTACGCGTCTCGTTGCCGCGTTTATCGCCGTCGCGCGTGTACGGTCGCAATTAACGATTTTCATGGAGCATTTTCGAGCAACCGAAGCTCGAGCGAAGCTCGCTCGCGAATATTCGACCGCGGAGCCCTCGTGTGCGTCGCAGCGACCGCTCGGCCGCTCGGCCGCTCGACCGCATCGCAAATTGCAATTGCAAGCTTTATCGTACGAACTTCCGAATGCAACGGTCGCACTGTTCCACGTAAATATCACTTTTCCTCCGCGAAACTTCTCCTTACGGCGCGAGGAAAACTTTCACCCAGCATTCTACGTTTCATTCCCACTTACAAAGTTGTAAATTCACCCTCGAGCACCGCAGCCCGGCGTTTCTCGGCGTATGGGCCGCGTTAAGCTTTTAGCGGGCCGTGAAATAATAGCGAAACAATGGCGCCGTAAACAGCCCCGAAACTGGATTACTTGCAAGAAAACTGGTTAAACGGTATCTCGTATTACTTTTTGCCGGGTTTCTTTCTCTCGGCGGTTGCTTTACACGCGTAAAAAGTTGTCGGTAGCCGACCATCGTAACTCTTGCCGTCTGTCCTAATCCCGACGCACCGCGAATCTGCGAACGTTGGTTTCGAGCGTGCGCGCGCGAGCGAGCGAGAGTCCTTCGTCCAGCGTGTCGTTGGATAGTTTATGGTGTGTACAACTCGATGCGAGCGTCCTATCTGGTAAACGTATTGCGTGTGTCGCGATGCGCATCCGCGCGCTTGTGCGCGTATACGAGAGAAAGAGAGAGCATTTGGTACAATGTAATGCTACTATTTTTAGTGTACAGTGTACGTACACTGTCTTGGACGCGCCAGAGCAGATTTTCTAAAATTAGATGCAGGACGATTTATCGACGGATCTTTCGATATCGTCGAGATTCATCGGAATATCGCAACCGCATAAACGAAGAGTGGATCTCTCGCGTTATATCCCATCGGTTGTAAGCCTACCCTGATCCTTCGATAGAAACGCGAAGCGCATCTGGGTTAAATGGAAGAAATCGATAGGGCGACTCTATACGTTCGCTGTCGACCGATGTTCGAAAATCTTTGACGTTTTTGATCGCAGCATCGACCGTTCTCCTCTTCCAACGCGCGCCGAATACCGCTCGTCGTCGGTTCCTCGAAGATCCGACGTTTCGTATCGCGTAAATCGCGCTCGACCCTGCCGCGATCGATCGACGGGAGATCGTTCGGCCGGAAATCGCGAGAACGAACGCGCATCTTCTAAAATAGGCCGGATCTAATTAACCGAATACGAATTAACGGAACGGAGAGGATGGAAGGAAAAAGCAGATTGCTCGGACCTAGCGCGCAGGTAATTCAGGGTCGGAACCATTATCGTACATCGGATCCGCTAATAGGACCTCGAGGCATTATAGAGCGGTGTTCTTATCCTCGAGACATTATTTAGATACCATGGTATTATACGTATTATACGGTGTAGAGTACAGAGTATAGAGAGACACGGTAACTACGGTAGACGATGCTGGGAACAACTTCCATCGAAACCATAAACTACCTGCATCTATCCGAACGTAAACGTCGCGACTCGCGTAAAATACTGGAGCCAACGAAGACGGGTTCCAGCCTCGAGATACGTACGAGTTGCACGAAATTCTTACCGCGCTCGACGAAACTACGTTGTCGCGAAATGGCTCGCAGAGTCGAACAATTCGATGGAGCCGAGCGCGTATCTTCTCGATATATCGCGGATATCTCGTAGCTCCGCGAATTCTTTTCCCAACGTTTAGAATCTACGATACATGCCAAACCCTTTTACAATCTCCAATTTACCCACTCGTCTCCTTTCCGGTACGCTTCGTATCCCGCGTCGGTTATATTACAACTTTAAACGGACGAATATTTGTGTCACGGTCAATTTGCCGACCGATTCGATCGGGCGAACTTCGCTGTACATACGTATTTCGATAAATACGAATCTCGAAATATAGATAAGAATCTAAATAGCGACTAAAAAATAGGAATCTCTTTTTATCTCGCAGAACGTTGGTAGCATTTGAAATCGTCGAGGTAGTTTGCGCGAACGTTTCTTCGACCGATATTACGCGTACCATGGTTTATCGCGAACGGAAAAGGTTTCGTTGGTCAAGACACGTGTTGTACATACGTACAGAAAACTGAGTGGGAGAGGGGGTGGGGGGTGTTTATCGTTTATCGTCGATGCGGAATATACGCCGTTTTCCGCGATCATCGTTCCACTTTCTACGCAACTCGCGCGCACTTTCCTTAATCGAATCGGACGAAACGAGCCAACGCGCGCGATCCTACCGTCCTTAATTGTTCATTTATTTCGATTATTTTCTTCGAACACGTCGATTCGTTCCAACGTTAATTGCCTCGATAAACCCGTCTCGACGGTCGATCGTACAATCTCGTACACGTTGGATCGCTGGACGGATGGACGATGGACGATGGACGATGGACGAACACGCGCACCCAGGACAACGCGCGTCGTCGGTAGAGCGTCGGAATTATGCACATTTTCGAAATCCATTCGCGCGGTTACAAACTCGTTAAATTCGATCGCTAAAAAGTAATCGAGCCCGCAAATTTCATCGATTTCCAATTCGCGAATTAACGATGCTTTTCAAAGGTAATTTTCAACGGACGACCGGCGTTGTGTACGAATTAACGGCGCTCGACGCAGTTTGCATTTAATTTTTCAAATAGAATAGGATCGCCGATCCGCGAAACGGTAACAGTTCGAACGGACGATCGGCGTCGCCGAGTTCCAAATTCGAATACGATGGTAACCGACGCGTGTACGCGTAACAGTTCGCGTTTTATTTTTGTAATAGGATAGAGCAGAGCGGGAACCGATACGAGATAAACAACGTTCGAAGCGAATACATCGACCGAAACCGTTTCTTATCTTACGGTAAGAATTCGAATCTCCGCGGTCGTTGTTTCGGCGACGATTCGACGTTCGATCACCGTCGTTGGAAGCCCCGTAACGCGGTGCGTGCATTTCGATCGATCCATCGGTCTCGGCCGCGTAACATTTTTGATTTACGAGCCGCGTATCGAATATGTGGCTTGTGCCAGGTGAGGACACGGTAGCAGGGATTTGGGAGCGAACCGATTAGGACGAGAGGGAGATCGCGGTAACCGCGCTAGCGGGACATGTGCGACGAGCAGCTGTGGACACAGAAGTTCGCCGCTTCTTCTCTACAGGGTGTCATCGTACAATCGGCTCTGTTCCACGACAGACAGACGCATCGTTGTTTCTCGAATCGCGAATCGCGAATCGCGAATCGCGACGTTGCGTCGTCGTTGCAACGCGATAACGACGAGTCGAAGGTGCGTGGACGTTCGTTGAATTTTCAATTCTACTTGGTACTCGATGAACTCACCGGAAATGCGGATGAACACCGCATTCTGTTCCCCACTGTCCACCGTTATCCCCGAAGTCCTCCTCTGCAACAACAACAACAGGAAGCCTCGATTAAATTTGACAAGCGTGCAATCCGTGGTTCTCGTCGTGGCTCGCGATGCATCGTCGTCGAAAAAAGTCGGTACGAGGGAGGAACGTCGTATTTCTATTTTATTCTCTGGCCGAAATACGACTCTTCGCGTTTTCATCGCTCGCGCCTATCCGTTTTGCGAAAACGACGACAGGGTAAATAATAATTCAACGTTCCAATCGTTCGTCGCGGAAGCGGACTTCCTCGAAGTCGCGTAGCGATATCGATCGCATGGCGGTTCGAATGTTCGATTTAATTGTTTTTTTTTTTTAATAGCTTTTTCTTCAACTTCGAGGAGTTCTTACGAAACGGAAGTCGTTGCCGTCTTTGGGCGCCTCTCGGGGCCCCCGTAGCGCGTCGACGAATCGTAAACGAAGAGAAAATTGTCGCGGCATTCGCGAACGCGGGCTCGACGTGTCGGGACAATGGGAGAGGAGCAAAAAGCCGGCGCGAGGAGTGGGGAAGAAAAAGGTTCGCGAGGGAGCGGAGAATTGTGCAAGGTCTGGGCAAACGCGACCCGACAACCGATGGATCGACCTGGCAGCGTTCGACAACTGAAACTCGCTGGCAGACTTTTCACTGGCGGATCAGGCCGATTGCCAATTAGAAAATGGGGCGACCTGGATTCGCATTCGCTGCTCCGAACTCTCCGAGGTTCCCAGGTACTGCTCCGATACCGAGGACCAGGGGAGGGACGGGGATGGCTAGCGGCGTCGCGATCGCGATACATCCGCGAACCGGCCCGAGAAATCATCGCGGAAACTGCCTTCTCGACTCGAACACCGAACGAAAAAAATCTCTAATTCGGCTAAAATCCGCGTCGAACAGCGTCGAATTCCATAAAATATCCGGAAATCTAACGTCCGTAAGACGCGGGAGGACGCGAGAAACTTTGTACAACGTTTGTAACGTCGCTTGGCACCGTTCTCGATCGTCGTCGGGATCGTCGATAGGACAGTTCGGTCCCCCGTCCTCCATCCGATTTACCGCAGAGAGACGGACCGATATGATTTTCTCTTTCTCGGACGGTTCGCGCATGGCGAAGCTGCAGCCAGCGATAAAACATGGCCGTTATCCGATCGGGAACGACTCCGTTCGCAAGGAATCTCGTGAAACGTTTTCACGGAAGATTTTCTCTCTCTCTCTCTCGCCTCTCGCCCTCGACGCGGACACTGCGTTTCGCAGGGCGAGGATAATTTAGAATTTGGTCGGTCCCGCGACGTTCTCTGTACGCATTGTGCAGGCAGAGTGGTTAATTGCACCGCTATTGGCTAGTCCGCTCGGGTGAACCGATCAATGAAGGGAATGAACAGAGTAATCGGGAATGAGCCAAATGGAACAGCGTCAAATTGCGTGTAGCTGGCGGTGTGCAACAAGGTATGTGCGTGGAATGACTAATTTCGCCTCGGAAATCGAGGATTCCTCCTTTTTCGATCCAACTATAGATCTTCGCCGACGATCGTCTATTTTCGAGCGATCCGCGGAAAACGATCTCGTTTCTCGCCCGGAATCGTCGCGACGATAACGCGCCCAAATTTTCGATATCGGCGATATTTTTATCGGAGAGACGAACGCGATTTCCGATGCTTTGGATTTTTATCGCGCGAATTACGAGAAGCTTGCCGTTTGTAATGTTATAATCCGAAGAATTATTCGACGATAATCTTCTTTTCAACCCTTCCACGTACGCACGGTGTTTCGGATTTGTACGAACGGAATAATTTATCCGATCGACGCTTCGATCGCGTCGAGCTTATCGAATTTTCCAAATAAATGTCGACTTCCTTTCGTACGTTCGTATCGATCGTTGCGTCGTTTCGCACGATTCGTTCGAAAACATTATTTTATAGAGCGCTGTTATATGCAGTTACGAGATGTTTGGCGAGCTTCGTTCGGCGAGCATTCTCCCGGATCCCGTGTACCGTAGACCGTAGATTTAGACCGTAGCCGAATATTCGACGTCGTTTAGGATCGCGCAGCAGCCCACGGAATACCATAAGCTTTCGTCGGTACATCGAATTCGGAAATTAAGCGGAGCGTGAATCGTGCTGCCGGGCTGCCGGGGTTGGCGGAGTCGGGGATAGAGCGAGCACCGCCCCGTTGCCTTCGAATCCGTTCGTTCGGCCAAAGTATAATACTTTCGAGAACGTCGCTCCTCCGACTGCGAGGACGTTTACTCCAGGACGCGTTATCGACTCGACGTCGACGAGAGAGAGAGAGAGAGAGAGAGAGAGAGAGAGAGAGAGAGAGAGCGAGTGCCTCGAGAAAACCGATTGCCGNGGGGAAGAAAAAGGTTCGCGAGGGAGCGGAGAATTGTGCAAGGTCTGGGCAAACGCGACCCGACAACCGATGGATCGACCTGGCAGCGTTCGACAACTGAAACTCGCTGGCAGACTTTTCACTGGCGGATCAGGCCGATTGCCAATTAGAAAATGGGGCGACCTGGATTCGCATTCGCTGCTCCGAACTCTCCGAGGTTCCCAGGTACTGCTCCGATACCGAGGACCAGGGGAGGGACGGGGATGGCTAGCGGCGTCGCGATCGCGATACATCCGCGAACCGGCCCGAGAAATCATCGCGGAAACTGCCTTCTCGACTCGAACACCGAACGAAAAAAATCTCTAATTCGGCTAAAATCCGCGTCGAACAGCGTCGAATTCCATAAAATATCCGGAAATCTAACGTCCGTAAGACGCGGGAGGACGCGAGAAACTTTGTACAACGTTTGTAACGTCGCTTGGCACCGTTCTCGATCGTCGTCGGGATCGTCGATAGGACAGTTCGGTCCCCCGTCCTCCATCCGATTTACCGCAGAGAGACGGACCGATATGATTTTCTCTTTCTCGGACGGTTCGCGCATGGCGAAGCTGCAGCCAGCGATAAAACATGGCCGTTATCCGATCGGGAACGACTCCGTTCGCAAGGAATCTCGTGAAACGTTTTCACGGAAGATTTTCTCTCTCTCTCTCTCGCCTCTCGCCCTCGACGCGGACACTGCGTTTCGCAGGGCGAGGATAATTTAGAATTTGGTCGGTCCCGCGACGTTCTCTGTACGCATTGTGCAGGCAGAGTGGTTAATTGCACCGCTATTGGCTAGTCCGCTCGGGTGAACCGATCAATGAAGGGAATGAACAGAGTAATCGGGAATGAGCCAAATGGAACAGCGTCAAATTGCGTGTAGCTGGCGGTGTGCAACAAGGTATGTGCGTGGAATGACTAATTTCGCCTCGGAAATCGAGGATTCCTCCTTTTTCGATCCAACTATAGATCTTCGCCGACGATCGTCTATTTTCGAGCGATCCGCGGAAAACGATCTCGTTTCTCGCCCGGAATCGTCGCGACGATAACGCGCCCAAATTTTCGATATCGGCGATATTTTTATCGGAGAGACGAACGCGATTTCCGATGCTTTGGATTTTTATCGCGCGAATTACGAGAAGCTTGCCGTTTGTAATGTTATAATCCGAAGAATTATTCGACGATAATCTTCTTTTCAACCCTTCCACGTACGCACGGTGTTTCGGATTTGTACGAACGGAATAATTTATCCGATCGACGCTTCGATCGCGTCGAGCTTATCGAATTTTCCAAATAAATGTCGACTTCCTTTCGTACGTTCGTATCGATCGTTGCGTCGTTTCGCACGATTCGTTCGAAAACATTATTTTATAGAGCGCTGTTATATGCAGTTACGAGATGTTTGGCGAGCTTCGTTCGGCGAGCATTCTCCCGGATCCCGTGTACCGTAGACCGTAGATTTAGACCGTAGCCGAATATTCGACGTCGTTTAGGATCGCGCAGCAGCCCACGGAATACCATAAGCTTTCGTCGGTACATCGAATTCGGAAATTAAGCGGAGCGTGAATCGTGCTGCCGGGCTGCCGGGGTTGGCGGAGTCGGGGATAGAGCGAGCACCGCCCCGTTGCCTTCGAATCCGTTCGTTCGGCCAAAGTATAATACTTTCGAGAACGTCGCTCCTCCGACTGCGAGGACGTTTACTCCAGGACGCGTTATCGACTCGACGTCGACGAGAGAGAGAGAGAGAGAGAGAGAGAGAGAGAGAGAGAGAGAGAGCGAGTGCCTCGAGAAAACCGATTGCCGGGTCTGCGGGTTTACACGGACGAACAGCCTCGAACCGCCCACCGTGCCTTCGAATTAGGGTGCCACCGCGCCACGGACCAACGCGAATTCACGCCGGCGTGGCGCGGCAACGCGCTTCGCTGTTTCACGCTCGAGCGACGCGAGAGGATATTCCGGATTCTAGATTCTTCGTCTTCCTTCCATCGATAAACGCGAAATAATTTCGCGAACGCGAAAGAACGCGTCCAAACGTTGCTCTCGAGCGTCGAAGAACTCATCGGACTCGACGCGAGTAGCAAATAATGAGAATCGATCGCTAGATATTTGGAACGCGGATGGAACGTTCGCGGCTCTCTCGGTCAAAATAGAGCCGCCGAGTTCCGCTGGCCGAGGATCGATGAAGCGCGCGAGTCGTCGTTTCCCCGACCGGGGTGCGCTCGTTCGAGAAACTGCAAGCACTAAGTTAGGGTTGTCACCGGTGGGACTTGTTTCCCCGGTTAAGGCCGAGCGGTTCGAACGATCGAAACGCCAACGGTCCATGAAACGACGCGGTTGGCACATCGACGACGATCGACGTCCTCGTTGCTCGCGAATAGAACCGTTCGCGCATCGGTTTCGCAATCGGTTTCGTTCGATCGCGAAACCATATTTCAACCTGTCGCGAATAGAATAATAAATTCGATGCCGGTCGCGCGCGTTCGTGACCGTCCATGAAAATTTGGTTCGCAGCCAATCTTCGAAGGTTCGTTCCAGCCATTGCTGAACACCGATTTCCATCGAACGCGGCGTCCCTTCCCTCGGCCTTAACCGTGCCGCTGCGCCGCCGTTGCGCTCGGAAAGAGCTTTCGACGATCCGAAAGCTTTGCACCGAAC